AAGCAGGGCTATCTTTGGACATTTGTCTACATTTCTAGACCAATGTCTAAAGCCTTGTAATTCTATTCAGATGAAATCTGAAAGAGGAAAGACACTATGTCTAGGCAACTCAGATATACAAAGCCATGACAAAAGAGAAAATGGCAGAAAATAACATTAGTGATCAGCAACAAAGCTAATCATGCCAAAGAGGGTGCCTGAATTTAGCTAATGATTTTTGAAGTACTTTACAGCCTAATAAACCTTGATCACTGTAGTGGGGTTTTCCTGCGAAGAGCAGACTCAGTCCTGCAGTCAATCCATTAGTTAAGCTATCTTTGTTCTTGTGAAAAAAGTTATTTACATTTCTGTAGGCTTATTCAGATAGAGAATACAGGTTGTATGGAAAAAGAAATAATGTATGAGAGAAGGTAATGTAAATATTTGGAAGAGGACTGTCCTCTTCTGGTAGTCTAAAGGACAGTCTATAATTAATCTGTAGTTACTTGAACAGGTAGATCATAGAATCACAGAATCATTCAGGTTGGAAAAGACCCTTGGGATCATCGAGTCCAACCATCAGCCCTACTCTACAAAGTTCTCCCCTACCCCATATCCCCCAACATCTCATCCAAATGACCCTTAAACACACCCAGGGATGGTGACTCCAACACCACCCTGGGCAGCCTATTCCACTGTCTGACCACTCTTTCTGGGAAAAAAATTTCCTAATGTCCAGTCTAAACCGCCCTGCTGCATTTTAAAGCCATTCCCTCCTGTTCTGTCACTAATCACCTCTGAGAAGAAACCAGCACCAACCTCTCTCCAATGTCCTTTCAGGTAGCTGTAGAAAGTGATGAGGTCTCCCCTCAGCCTTCTCTTCCTCAAACTGAACAGTCCCAGCTCCTTCAACCTCTCCTCGTAGGATTTGTTCCCCAGACTCTTCAGCAGCTTCGTTGCCCTCCTCTGCACTCGCTCCAGCACCTCGATATCTCTCTCGTATTGAGGTGCCCAAAACTGGACACAACACTCCAGGTGTGGCCTCACCAGTGCAGAGGCACAGGGGGTCCATCACCTCCCTACTTCTGCTGGTCACACTATCTCTAACACAAGCCAGGATGCCGTTGGCTTTCTTGGCCACCTGGGCACACTGCTGGCTCGTGTTCAGCTGCTTGTCAATTAGAGCCCCCAGAGCCTTCTCTTCCAGACAGCTCTCCAGTCACACCTCCCCAAGCCTGTAGCCATGCAGGGGATTGTGGCCCAAGTGCAGGACCTGGCACTTGGCCTTGTTGAAGCTCATCCCGTTGACGTTGGCCCCCTGATCCAATCTATCCAGGTCTCTCTGTAGAGCCTCCCTATCTTCATGCAGATCAACATTTCCGCTTAACTTGGTGTCATCTGCAAATTTACTGATTATGCACTTTATCAAGACCATCAATAACGATGTTGAACAGAAATGTTCCCAACACCGAGCCCTGAGGAACACCACTTGTGACTGGCCGCCAGCTAGATTTAGCTCCACTGACCACCACTCTCTGGGACCGTCCATCCAGCCAGTGCTCAACCCAGCAGACCATTCTCTCATCCAGGCCATGAGCAGCCAGCTTTTCTATGAGAATTTTATGGGGAACTGTGCTGAATGCTTTTCAAAAATCCAGGGTGATAATATCGACAGCTTTTCCCTCATCCAATAGTCGGATCATCTTGTTACATCAGATGTAACAAGTGCTTATATTAAGATGGCTAAAAGTTTGCATTTGACTCTGCTGGATATATGGTTGTGAGAAATTCTGCTTTTAGGCCTAGTTGTTCTATATATGACCACTGTCCGCAGTAATTTTTCATTTGAGAACAGAAGTGAAAATATTGTTGTTATGTAATATTGTTTGTGGGGGAACTTTTCTCAGTGTAAAAATAGAAAAAAAGTATACAATTTAATTCTATCTTTTTATTTCAAAACCGTATGAATGAGTAAACTGATTTGTGAATATATTGTGAAAGAACAAATATTAGTTGGTTTAGACAAAACAGGAAAGAATGAGAATTTCTGTGACAACAATTTAGAAACTGCAAAGGAAAAAAAAAAAAACAAGACAAAATCAAAGCCAAAAATCTACCTGTTAAGATGTGAGAGAGTTGAACAGAAAATGCAGGAACAGAAAATATAGGATTCAGGAAATATGTTTTCCCAAGGGCATTAGAAAAATACTGGTCAACTATAGTTCAGGTTGGCTGGCGGAATGCTCTTCTGCTGCTTCCTGCTGCCCACGCTACTGTCTGCTCAAAATTCTGGCACGTATCTTCTCAGCTTTCCATTGCGGACATCACCTGATTGCACCATTCATTCAAGTGGGTCAAGCCTTGTAACTCCAAAATATGTAGCAGCAATCAAAAGAAACTGAACTCCAACCTAACACAGCAAGTTTCTGCTTGGTAGCCCCATACAGCTGGCTCTGTTCAGCATAGGTCAGCATTATAGCAGTAGAGCCAGCCAGAATTGCGGTCATGCGAGAGAGGAGGTGGCCCCTTAATTTTTTTTCCTGTTTGAGTTTTTCTCTAACCTCGTCCCCCACAACCTTGCAGCATTACTGTTTCATGAATACGTTGTTTCTATCACGTACTGGCAGTCCTGACATTGATAGGCAGTGAATCAACACTTTTATAGAATCACGAAGTCAAACTAGTTCTGCAGATCCACAGTGTGCAGTATGTGGTTTTTCATTCTGGATGTAATAACTGCAATTTGAAATACGCCCCCACAAGCATTGATTTCATGCTTTAAGAAATTCACAATAAAGAATTTAATTAAGAAAGAAGAAACTGCATCACTCCATTTTAAAAAGAAAAAATCACCCGAGATGTTTTTTGTTAATTTTCAGGCCCTAATAGCAATAACTATCTTTAGCTGAGGACATTTCCTGGGGCTTAATGGCCCATGGCTGTGCTTCTTCAGGTGATCATCATCTCTCAGCAGTCATTAATTCCCTACAAATGCCCCACACTTCAGTCATTAAATGTGCTTAAACATGCTTCTTCTGAAAATTAAATACTTCTATATTTAATACATCTTCCAGGAATAGCAGTGATCTTTGAGGTGAGGAATGAAAGGAGTTTAGTAACGTGTCAGGGAAGTACTAATTATGGCAAGTGGGTAAGATTTGTTTCTGGAGGTAGCATGACAAAGTAGCATGTTTCTACAGTAAAAGTATGTTCTATGTAAGTCATCATTTTATGTATGTCACGATTCACACTCATCCCAATTACATAACAGCCAAATCAGAAATACAGATAGTTATTTGTAGTTGTTTTTCTTCTACGGGGCATCTCAGCATAGAAAGAGACCATCTCACAAAACTCAGAGAGTATGTGCCTGCAGCACTGCTTAAAAAGTCTTTTCATTCCATAGCTGTAAAACAGAGCTATGCAGTTTTACACGGTGTTTGTGATAATGCAAGGGGGGGAAAAAAAAAAAAAAAGTTTTTCATCTGTAAAGGTCTGAAACTCTTACAAGTCTTTTGGTGACAATTTTATGAGTCTTACAAATGGGACCACAAATACAGCACCAATGGGCTCTCTACTTGTTTTAAACACAGTAGACAGCTTGCTCAAGTAGAATTAAAACCTTCAATGAAAATAGTTGAAGGAATTTGTCTTGATAGAAGTTGAATAGGGATTGCATTTTTTAAACGTGATTGAAATTCTATTTACTGACACATTGTGTTATTTTCATCTCATGTTACTAAGTATGTAATGCATAGATTATGTGAAGCCTGTACCTCTCCCAAACAGGTTGTGAGAGGGATCAGACCCGATCCCATCACATTGCCTTCAATGAGTTCAAAATGAGTACTTTTTAGGTATTATAGTCATTTGTTATGTATGTTGGACATTCAGATCCCTTGTGCTTCAGTGAGTGACTGTAGATGAGGGAAGAAGTAGATTTTTGGGCAATGCATTGTTAAATGTTGAATGTTAAATTATATTAAAGTTAAAATTGCTATCCTAGTCAGTACCTTTGATTGCAGATTAACCTGAAAAAAAGAATCACTGTAACCTGACCCCAAAATTCGTTTTCATTTCAATTTTTTCTGTCCCTTCTAACAAACATCACCTGAACAAAACATCTTTCAGTATAAATGGAATGTTTTGTTTAACTCCCAGTAAAACAATTCACTTCAGTAACCCATAACAACTGTCTTAATTTTGAAATTTTGTAAGCTATAGAAATTTTTCTACATGAAAAACAAAGGTTTCTTTCAAGAAATTTAAACTGCAAAATTTCACATACACATATGCACACACTTTTTATCCTACTCTCTTTCTTGGTTTTTTTGGACAAAGCTATTACCTGAATTAGACTTTGCCCTGCAAGTATTCTTATTGATCCCAAAGAAGTTTTCCGCAAATAATCTAATGAAAAAAAATTGCTAGTTTTCTTAAAATTCACTAACTAAAAAGAAGATTCACAGAGCCTAGGACAAGATAAAGAGTATTACAATCTAGTTTGTCTCTCATTATAAATGGCCGGTTGGGGAATAAGTACTGATGTATGGTACTGCACCTAGAACACTTCTTTTGCCATAGATTCTGCTTAAGTCTACTTTGGGTATTTGTATCCTATCATGCAACTTAGAGTGTCCTCATTCTTCAAACCCATTTGCAAAAAAAACCCCAGATAACATTTATTCATCTACCTCCTGTCACAAGTGGTGTTATTATTGTCCTGTCTTCTTATATATGACTCTGAGTACTCCAAATCTAAACTCAATTACAAAGTAGGGAAGGTCATGAAGACTTTGCCAGTTTCCAGAAAGAACAAATTCTTAAAGGAATGGTCACAAAGAAGAGTAATAGAAAAAAGAAAGCATACATTCTTAAAGTGAATTTATCAGTTTGCCTAGAATTCTTGTATAATTTTTCTACTCGAGAGCTCTCTGTTTTCACCCATTTATTATATTTACAGTCAAGTATAATTTTAAAAATCTTATATAATGTTTCTCATTTTAAATTTTGTGTTGTAGATCTTGTTTTCCTGCTGCGCTGCATTCTGGGGAATCCAAATAATGAAGCAGATCTCATCATCCAAAGATAAACATCACTGAAAGAACAGATCTAACATCGCTTTAATTATGGAAGCAGCACTTTGGAATAGCCTTCTAAGTTCCTTGGAATTAATCAAACACGAATCTTACTGAATTGCAGTCATTTCACTTATGATAGAAGAGGTTTGTGATTTTGCATGAACTCTTGAAAGATTCATTAGGAAGTGTATTCATTTTTATTTGATTAAAAAAAATATTTCATTTCCCTCAATTTAAATAAAATATGGGTTAATAACATTTTTACTTTTAAAGGATTACAGAGTCTTAGAAACCATGTAAAACTAATTGCATTTTGCAATGATTTTGTTAGTAATCATATGTGAAAAGTATTTTTCACAAGAGAAATAATTAAAATCATATTTGTTGTAACCTGGTATAAAGTGACTGACTGTCTTCCTATTGAGGCTAAACGTAAACATATGTGAATGTCGTTTTTTCCGTAGTGATTGAATTACACTAGAATCTCAATGTCATGCCCAATTCAGTGTTCATAACGTACAGCTACTCGAGGATGAGTAGTCGAGGCAAGAAAATTATTAAAAACAGCATGATAAAATAACTCAAACTAGTATGAGTTGAAACATCTTCAATAAAATTGGCTAATGTATGTGTTGTATAATACAAACTTGCAGTTTAGACTGAATTATTTAAGAGTACACCTGCAGTTGCCAACTTTAGATACTGGTGAAGCCAGCACTTACACATGGGTATCCCATTGACTAATATTACTCACGTGACAAAATATTTACAAGGCTGGGCCCTTAATTTCTGGTAATTTCCTGCCGGGGTGATCTCAGGAGAGATGCACGTCTTGTCTTTCAGGAGCTGTTGGAAAGATGGTTTATACTAAGATAGGAAAATTAAATACAAATGGTAAAGGGAGTCTCCAAACAGCAGGACTGGCAAAAATACTGGAGCTAGGTTGTTTTTCTTTCCTCACACTCTTCCAACTTCTTATTTGGCTCCAAGACTTTTAGAAGTACTTAAAGTCAAGTAGCTAAAAAATGTAGGCTGTCTTGCATGCTTCAAACTAGTAATAATACCTGGATTTAAAAATGATTTTAAGTTTGGGTTGGGTTTTTTTCCCATTCCATTTTAAGATGTTAATGACATGCTAAGAGACATCTCAGATTTAGACAGATAGCCTGCTTTTAGTTAACCCATATTTTCAGTCTCTAACTGTAACCGATGCCACTGTCTACATAATTGGATGTTTCTAATAAATTCTCAGAAACAGAATAATGCTATTTAAATAAAATTAATCCAATTTCTAGTGATAATATCAGGTTAATTTTATATAAATTCTTACTTTAAAACCCAAGTTTTAAGTTACTCCATTTGTGTATCAAATGCCTTGTGCCTATCACTTTAGATTATGCTTAAAGACTTTGAAATATTTGACTGAAAAAGCAGGTGTTAGCTTGATGAGAGGATGCAAAGTAAGGAGAACACCTCCCTAAACTGAAGGCGTGTTTAAATAGAGGACTGACTTGTAAATCTTCTTCACTTTACATAATGAGAAGATTAAAAACTTGCCCATGAAATCCTAGAAGAAATCAGATTTTAAATACTGGTTGAGAAGTTTAATTCAGATTTTTAATCATAACAAGGTAGGCTTCCAATGTCTTTTTAAGAAATGGATAAATACAATTATATATCTCTGAGTTCAAGACTGGAAATATAATCTCGTGAATAACACACTGGTGCAGCAGCCAGGAGTTTTCTTTGGTACTCTTAGTTATGACCAAAACTTACCATCTCTTTGCCTGAATTTCCCCATCTGTAGAATGAGGGTGATAGCAATACTGATGGTATCTCTCACCATAATCAAAGTATTGCATTTGGGATCTTTTCCTTACAAAGCTATTATAGGATATTTAAGAAATTGACAGAATCTGATTCTGGAAGTACAACACAGTCTACAAACTTCTGTGACCCCATAAGTTAGTGTACCTATATTTTCAAAATTTGTAATAGTGATATCCACCTCACAGGACTATTTTGAGGTCAGTTTAATATAATGACTAAGTAATATAATGAAGAGTCATGTTGGAAGTCGGTTTCCTTATCAAAATAAATCCTTCAGAGACAGAAACAGGATAAAGATTTAACATGTTCTGCATTTAAAAACCTACAGTCCTGGAAGGACAATAATTAAGATCTGAATTCAATCTGAATTAATTACTTTTAAAGATATCCTAATTAATGTAATTTATTTACATAAAGTAATGAAAGGAATGTGATTTCAAAGTTAAATTCAGATTAAGATGTAAATGTTCTATGTAAATCACCAGCTTCTCATTCTAGTCACCATCAGTTGCCTACAAATAAATTTAAAAATACAGATAAAGTAGTGACAAATATAAAATGCACAGTAGTTTAACTAATATCTTATCTGAAAGAAAACAGTTGTACTCGTATGCGGTCAATTCTAATAAATGAAAAATGCAAAAACCAGGCACAAAATATAATCCCTGCTACAGCCTACTCTCTCAGAGATCCTTACTTTCTCTTACTACAGAAACCTTACTTTCCTACCTTAAATGTGTCTCATTTCTCAGCTTGATGGGAATCTGGAAATGAAACATTCCTCAGTTTCAATTTGGCAGCCCCAGTTTGGCCAAATGAGGGGGTAACTCTACCACTGGGAACTTCTAACGTGTCTAACAGAACTCCATCCCTTATAAAAAGTGGCTGATAAAGGCAACCTAGTCATTAAAGCAGAGGCCAAATAAATTTCCTCTTTTCCAAGGATTTTTTAATCCCAGTTTCCTACTTCCAAGGACTTGCCATTGTGTATAAGTTGTTTGAAAACAAGGTGCAGGAGAGTAGCAACATTCTTCTCATTTTATACTGTGCAACACAGAGTCTGAAAATTACTCTTCTGGCTGAAGGCTTGAACAGACTCATCATGGGTATCCAAGAGTCTTGTACTTTACAATAACATCCACTGGGTATGTGTAAGAAATCCTTTGAATACAGACTAGAAACTGGAGTTTGCCTTTCCCAGAGAAGAGATAGTTTCATGGACAAGCTCATAGAAACACCCTTAAATTCATCATTCTCCCATTAGCTATTTGGTAGTTAGCTATATCCCTGTCAACTTTTTTGTCATGATTTTATTTTAATACAAACTATTTCAATATTTTAGGCACCTAACACCAGTACTGGGTCTAGTTCATACTGTCTTTATAGCCACTGCAGTGACTCTTGGGATTGCTAATGCTGAATGGGAAAAAACTATTCTTGGTCTATCATTTTTCCATAAAACCTCTGGTTCCAGCATAGGCATATACAGTGGCCATGAGGCAAAGTTTTGCTGGGTGTTCTGGTTCCCTGCTGGTGTTTGACCTGTTCGGTTTAGAATTAAATAGGTACTATTTAAACAGTCAGCCCAAAGATCTTTGGTTTTGAGTAATCAAGAGACTCTGGAGAATAGATGGTCAGTGAATTGAATCATGTGCAGTTAATATATTTCATACAGCTAATTGAACGAATTAAATGCTAACTGCAGACACTGCTTATTGCTAGGATATATTAGTGACATTTTGGTAAACCATCCTTCTCCCCTCAAATTTTTAATATTCCATTGTTTATTTCTTTAGAGTTTGACCATGTTGTGTGATTTGAACAATTGTATTGGATCAAGTGAAATCAGGTGAATTATGTGAGGAAACAATGATTCAGAACTAATAGATTTTGTGCAAGTAACTATTTTTGTTTTAGAGAGCCACTGTTTCATGTCTCTGGAAACAAAAGTATTTTGCAGGCTAAAACCCTAGCCTCACATGTCCAAGTGAGAAATTTCATAAATAACATTTGTAATATTTGCAGTATTGCTTAATACTCCCTTTTGATTTTGTTTGTCTTTAAACTCCCTAGCGGCATGCCTTGGGGGAAAAACGTAGATAACCAGAACTTTTGTTCAGCAAGAGCATTGAAAAACTGACTTCCCCTGCTCTTTCCAGCTGTTGTAATGTCACATCCCTCCACATGGCCTTTCCTGGGCTATGTACACAGAAATATCAAGTTACTGAAAACCCAGAAGTAAGCAGCTAAATCCTGTGTATTCTTGAGACCTGACCCTGTGCAATTCAAGTCACTAAAAAACTTGCTGCTGACCTCAGGATTAGGTCAGTTAAAGCTGTAAACTATGCATACAAGATACAAAGGTATCCAGGCCCTTTCTCTTGTCTCTCCTTTCTCCAGTTTTCTCTCAAGTTTGTGGGCCTAGGGACATCATTACCTAAATCATTATCTAAAAGAAGGTAGTTGATCATATATTTTTAATCATCCTTTTTACAGACAAATTACTGTGGTCTTTCAGAATTTTATGTGATGTGATTAGACACTACTGAGCAGAGTAGCACCGAAGGTAAGAGTTGTTCAGGCTTCTTTGCTCTTTAACTTGTGATTAAAAGAGCTATGGCTCAGCAGTAGAGTTCATCAAGAAGATCCATAATTCTCAGAGAATGCTCAAAGCATTGACATTTCTTGCAATATTATGCAAAATATGTTGCCCATAGCCAAAGTTTTTCTTAAAACTCTGGAATGCTGTGACTGCTGCTTGCTTCTTTTATTTTTTTTTTTTTTTTACTTACTTGCTTTAACAAATGTTTCTGACTGCTGAAAACAAGAGCTATAGAAGGTTCAAAATGTAAGGGGCAAACAAGAAGATTTTAATAGGTAATATTTTTAAGTATTTTCCTTTTCAAACTGCCTTAGTCATTACATGAGGCTTGACTCATGATTTTTAAACTCTTGGGGTAGCTGATGCTGAATGGGAAAAAACAATTTTTGGTCTACCCTTTTTCCATAAAACCTCTGGTTCCAGCATAGACAGATACAACGTCCACGAGGCAGAGTTTTGCTGGGTGTCCTGGTTCCCTGCTGGTGTTTGACCTGTTCGGTTTAGAATTAAAGCGGGACACAGAGACAACTCTCTGAGGGCCCACCACCCTCAGTAACTCAACACATGCAGACCTCATCCACAGTGTTACCTGTCACTCCCAGCAGTTCTGGTCAAAGCAGACAAGATATGTACTGTGGACTTCAGGATTTTCTCTTTCTACAGAGGACACAAGTGTAAAAATACTGTTTGAAACTCAGATACAAACCACAAGGTAAAGCAAAAATAAGATATCTTGCATACTGCAGAAGCACTTCCATATTAATATCAGGGCCAATGGAAAGCTTGGCTCAGTCCTTTGTGATTTTTGCCCCACCTATGGAAAACAGCAGAAAAATGTGGAAACATTGAGTAAAATTAGCTGCTGAGTGTCCCTGTGTTTATGGTTTGGCAAAGTGATACAAAATGAATTCTCCCCCCCCCCCCTTGCCCCTTGCTATATTTGTAATATTTGCTCCTTTATTCTTTCTTCCCATTTTACTATCAGTCTCTCCCTCTCTCATGCTTATTTATCTTTGAAAAAAAATCCTCTTCTGTCTTCTTTTTGGCAATGGCATATTTCATATCCACAAATATGCTATTTTATTTTAATACATGAGAGCCAAACATACTTACCTAAAGAGGACTACTTTCTTTACTGTTCCCATCAGTTAACAGGCTTTTCTAGTATTTAAAACACAAAATACATTCCTCATATATTGTTAATGTCATATT